TATATATCTTCCGTTTTCTCTCTCTCATTCTCTCTCTGTGTTGTTTCTGTAATATTTTTGATTAGTTCTTTGAGAATTTCATATAACCTATTTTTATCATATTTCATCTTCCCTCCCCCAACTCTTCCTAGATTCAACCCCTCTTTCCTTTTCAACCAACTTTGTGTCATTTTGTTTCCTTGTTCTTTTTCCATCAATACCAATTTACACTACCCAAATGTTCTTGGATGTGTGGCCTTTCTCTGGAGTGTGGTCTATACCAGGGGCTGTAAGCTTAGGGAAAATTGACTCTTCATTCCCCAACAACTAACAATGACTAGTTGCTTCTTGGTTAAGGGGCAGAAGGAACTTCATGTCTAACTCCTGACTCATGCTGGGATTTGATCTGGCCCGGTCTTGACAGGTGAACTCTGTCATAGCTGCTGTGAGTTACTATGTACAGCTGCCCTGCTGTGTCCGGAGGACAGTTTCCTCGTATCATCCTCCACTTCCAGCTCTTACACTCTTTCTGCTCCTCTTCTGCAATATCCCTGAGCCTTTGGAGGACACACACCACCAAAGGCACTTCATTAAACAATAAAAAGATGTCTTCGCTTGCAATCTTGGCTTACAGACCTCTGCATAGCCACAAGTTTTATGTGCTCTGTCAGACGCTTACTCTATGGTACTTTTTTATTTATTTATTTATTTATTTATTTATTTATTTATGTATTTATTTATTATGTATACAATATTCTGTCTGCGTGTATGCCTGCTGGCCAGAAGAGGGCACCAGACCCCGTTACAGATGGTTGTGAGCCACCATGTGGTTGCTGGGAATTGAACTCAGGACCTTTGGAAGAGCAGGCAATGCTCTTAACCTCTGAGCCATCTCTCCAGCCCCTCTATGGTACTTTTAAGTGAGCCAAGAATCAATTTGAAGATTCTAAAGCGATTGGCATAACACATTTCTTCTAACATTAGTGGAGAACATAATGGCCTTTGTCAAATTTTACATTGTTCCTCACTAAAAAGAACTACATTTGCCATTTTAGACTGTTTTTTTTCTCTCTACTTACTCAGTAGGATTCTTTTTCCTCTCTACGTGCTCAGTAGCATGTTCCTAACATGAGGCATGTAGGTCTGAAAGGCTCTAATGTTAATCCAAAAGGAACATATGGCTAGGCAGATCACAGGCTCTAGGAGAGAACATGGGTGTGCGCATGCGCATAGCCTGTGAACCAAAGCCAGAGTTTTGGGCATTCGTGGCTCCATTCCCACCCCTAAAGAGAAATATGCAAGAGTAGATGAACAACTGATACTTAAATTATAACTCTCAAGCGTTTAGGCTCCGGTTACCTGGACCCTTTTCCCTTTTGGCAGACGGCTACATTAAAACGACTGCGGTGGAGATTGACTACGACTCTCTGAAGCGGAAGAAGAACACTCTCAATGCCGCTCCACCGAGACTTGTTGAAGATGACCAAGAAGTCTACGACGATGTGGCTGAGCAGGATGCTCCCAACAGGTGTGTGACACACAAAGTGTAAGCCGATCACGGAATGCTCTCACTCGCTACACTACATCACCATGTACCACAACCCTAGCTTGAGCGGAAGGCCATGGGAAACTCCATCATCTTTTAATTTACTTGTTGGTCGCACACATCTTGTAAACTTGAAATATAATGGGCTGTATGGTCGTGTTAAACATGTTGTCTACTACAAAGCATTTTTAGAATATTTATTATGATTTGAACTTAGGGATATAGCTAAATGAGTATGATTTGGGAATCTATGGAGTAGAAGATATAAAGTATAGTTCCCTTTTATTCACCCTTCAGTCTCGGAGTCGAAATGCATTTTCTGTCATTGCTTGAAAATATAACAGAAAAAGAATGGCCTCCCCTGCATTCCTACTCCAGTAGACTCCTTAAAAGTCAAATGTCAGTCCCCTACAATCCCTAGATAATGACTAAAGGTCTACTTTCCAGTATCTATGTTCTCAACTACATTAGAGCGCCATTTCCTCCTACAAAAATAAGCACACTTTTATAAAGCAGAGGCACAGAAACAGAACATCCTGTTTAGAGCAGGAAACAAAGGCCATCTTCTCACTCATGCCCATTATTGGTTTCTCATAACTAGACTGAAATACTTGAGATCTTGAACTTATAAAGAGGAAAGGCTTGTGGATCGCATCTGCTGTAAGTTCTAGTCTGAGATCAAGCCAAGTGCACACACTACATACAAACATGAATAAATTCACGCTACCGATGAAATGAGCAAATGGTAGCTCTGCTCCTAGCACATGACGTTCTCGAGGCACTGGATATGAGACTCTCCAGGAGGAAACACATTCACTAGGAACATCGGCTACCCAGAATGCACTTGATTCGAAGTATTGCCTCATGCGCAGATGCGGCAGGGAACATAGAAATGAAGATGAAAAGCAGAGAGGGTGCATCCACTTCTCCACAAATCAACTGCTAGAGTGTGGTGCACCAAGCCTTTCTACAAAGTTCCCTTGACAACAGTATGCTTTTATTTCTAAGTTAACCAAAGATATGCATCAGGCTAATTCCTCCCACTAGCCTGTAAAAGGAATGTAAAGATTGGTACTATTATATGGTTGTCCTGTATCTTGATAACGTCAAACTTACTGCTGTTGCTGGCACTTTACCCAAAGGTCAAAACGGGGTTGGGGTTATAGCTAGGTTCAAAAAGGGGCTAAGCCCTTGGAGTCTTGGATTCTTTCCTGCAAGATGGTAGAACTGAACAAATAGATAATGTCTAGGTTTTCCCAGTGCCCACGCTTGACTCTCCCATGACTCACACAGGAGATACAGGGCAGAACACATAACACTAGATGCTAAAACAGAAAAGGTTCTATTAGGGAAATAAGGTTTTTTTTTTAAAGGTGATCTAGAATTAGAGAAGTAGGGGACACCTCTTATAAAAGTTCCATCAAGGTCATAGCTTAAAAGTTTTTTCATAAAATAAGATATAATGATACTAGATTAAGAGTCAGATACTGTGGTTCTAAGATGCTGAAGAGAGTTGAGTTAAAGGCAATAATAATTGTCCTAATTGACTCCTAAAATAACACACAGTAGTTTTTAAAGCAATTTTAAATTTAATGTGTAATTACTGAAAATTGCTTCTTGGGAAGTTTATTAAAAGCAAGCGGCATAATTGCTGTGAACTATAGTACCCTAACCCACTGGTTCTTGCTGGTTGTGTATTGGCTATGTTATATTGCCTTGTCAGGATGCATCTACTACAATGAACGTCCTTGCTCTTCAAAGGTTTCGTTCAAGTTTTAAAAAGAATGTTAACGTAGACAGTCGTCTCAGTTTTTGAATTTCCCTGCTTGAAAACTGAACAATTCATACATTTATTATTTCTGCTTTGTTCTCAGCCACGGTCAGAGCGGAAGCGGAGGTGAGATGAAAGCTTTCTATGTTTGCAGTCTTGACCATGTTTGAGTATGCTCATGCAAACACACTATTGGGCTAACAGTAAGAGGGATTTTTTAGATTCCTATACATAAAGGATTTTAAATACAATTTTATTGCTCTATATCCATTGTACATGGTACTGATTTCTATAAAAGATTTTTGTACAAGTATATAATGAATTTATCATATTTCCCCAACCTTCACCTTTCCTACTCTTTCTCTCTCCACCCCTTGGTCACCTTTGTTCCCCTAGACAGTTTCTCTTCTGCTTTCTTGTCATACACACATATATGATCTTTTGTAGCTATATAAAACCTAAGAACCAGAAATGAAAGAACTAGTGGGATTTTTTAAGATATTTATTTATTTATTATGTATACTGTGTTCTGTCTGCATGCATGCCTGCACGCCAGAAGAGAGCACCAGATCTCATTATGGATGGTTGTGCTGGGATGTGAACCATGTGGTTGCTGGGAAATGAACTCAGGACCTCTGGAAGGGCAGCCCACGGTACTCTTAACCCCTGAGCCATCTCTCCAGACTCAGTTAGGGGGATTTTAATGTGGAAAAAGGATTGACCGGGAGTCTACAAGCCAGATTCCAGTCCTGGTCACCAAGTGACTGTGAGGCAGTCACTTCTGTCTTCTGGGTTTGCCATTGATCCTAGCATGACTCCACGCCCAGGGTCTTGGGAAAGCCCTGGTTTCTACAGACTGTCTGAGCACAGAATAAATAATGCCCCTTGCTTCCAGAACTCTCCCTGTCTAGATGGCAGACTGTATAGCTACCTTGGTGATTATTTTTATTTATTTATTTATTTATTAAAGATTTCTGTCTCTTCCCCACCGCCGCCTCCTCTTTCCCTCCCCCTCCCCCAATCAAGTCCCCCTCCCTCGTCAGCCCAAAGAGCAATCAGGGTTCCCTGCCCTGTGGGAAGTCCAAGGACCACCCACCTCCATTACCTTGGTGATTCTTGCTAAAGACACAGGCAGCAAAATCAAGAGCTTAGATTCTCACACTGAAAGAATCTAAGGTCGTTTTCCTGCACGTAGAAGGTTGCCAACAAATATACTTTGATATAACAAAGCTCCAAAGAACAAAGCATAGCAAATGAAATAAGAAAGGGGTCTGGTCTTCTATATATGTATTAAAATGTGACCTCTCTTTTCAGAGTTTCAGTTACTCTTAGTGTTTGTAGAGTTCAATCCATTACCAGCGATAAAGATCAGTCTTTTTTCAACATCTGCTCACCGTTAGCTGAATTTTTCTTCCTGCCTCCTCACTTCTCTCTTTTCATGAATTTGACTTCCTCTTCTCTTTTATAGGTTCTCCTATTAATTCTCACACATTCGTTTTACATAAATCCAGAGTACCCATCATCATCACTAATTGCATTATTATGGCTTTGGCCCTAAAATGTTTTTAAAATAATCTATAAAGCAACTGAATTATTAACTACCCATGTGATGCTGGGAAATTTGAAAGTTTTCTACTTAAACAGATAATATGAAAGCATCCTGCATTCTGCATCCAAATAGGGGAGAATTAGTATCAAAACCGGAGTGACCTATATTTGAACAAATTGCAAAACTGACAAAAGGTATCTTCCCTAATCCCAACGAAGGTATGTTCCCACCACCGCCACCTGATGATGACATTTATGATGGGATAGAAGAGGAAGAGGCTAATGATGGGTAAGAATAATCACTGAATTGCCTTTTTTCATGCAAAATATTACATCTATGGAAATCTAGTTTTCATTTCCAGATAGGATTAAGTGGTAGAAATTATTGCTTTTAGTCAGTCCTAAAATTGACAGTAAGGGTAAATCAAGAATGATAATTGTATTACACTGTAAATGAAATGGTAGATTGGAGAGAAATCTCAATTATGAAGAAAAAGATGAAATGAAAAGAGGGCTAATTACAAGTGTTGTGAATGTTTTTAAAACATTTTCCAATCCCTTATCTATTAATCAATAATTCACTTTTACAACCACCTCTGAAATTTGTCAGTTTACATGCCTGGAATGTTTTCTGCATAATAACATAACTATAGCTGGATGCCAGGGCTCACACCTGTAATTCTAGCACTCTAGTGGCTTAGACAGAAGGATCACTTCAACCCAGGAATTTAAGGTTAGTCTGAGCTGGTCAATAAACCCCAGGCTAACCTGGGCTGAAGGGTGAGAACCTGTTGCAAGTACACTGAGACCATTTGCTATCTATGGTATCGAATAGCTAATCCTTTGCTTAATATTAAGTATCTTTATTTTGTCATAACAATTTTAAAAGTCTTTTAAGTTAAATTTTCTTTCCATTTTAAAATAGAGTATTTAAGATGTAGTAATTATTTTACTTTCATCGCAAGTAGACATTTTAAACTTAATTCTAACTGACTTGACCTAGCTTTACGTTTTAGGAACCTAGGTAAATCTTACTGGATAACCAGCCTGATGAAAGAAATATTCACTCACCAGAATTTATTCTTAGTAGCCCCATATTATTGGCTACAGTGACCTACTTCCTGGTCAGTATAGTGTGATTATGTAAACTCTGAATGTCCACACAATGTCTTCGTGGTCTGCTGACTGTCCCATTCTGCTCGATGCCTGATGCTCCAAAGATCCATGCTGCAGGGCGAAGAGAAGACTAGCACGTGGTCCTGGGGGATTTTGAAGATGTTAAAGGGAAAGGAGGACAGGAAGAAAAGTGTCCGAGAGAAACCCAAAGTCTCTGAGTCAGACAGTAATGAAGGTTCATCGTAAGAGTCAACTGACCGCCTTCAGTGCACAATAACTACACTAATACCGGTTTAATTGAACGCTACTAATATTGTATAACCAATCAGCACGTCCTGATGCACTCACACCACTTCACTGTTATTTTCCATTAATTATCTTACATTCGTCTCGCAGTGTGCATTAATTACATGAGAGGACCCCGGTTATGCTGAAATTATCATGTAATTGTAAGATATATTTTACTCTCCCTGCAAATTTGCACAAAGACACACACACACATACACGCACACACACACACACACATGCACACACTCATACATATTCAAGCACACACAGTCATTCATGAACACGCATGCTACTTAGGAGTTCTCCCACCTGTGTGACCCCATCTAAAACTTTATTACTATTGCAGCCTACATTTTACATTATACTGACTGCTTTGAAAACTCATTATCTCTAGTAAGGCTAGTTTGTTAAACTAAAGGACATAATTTAGAATTTTTTCTGAATATAATATTGAAATTTTTATAACTGTTCTACAATAGTAATTTATTATCTTAACGATATACCTATATAGGCTTATTCTCAGCATTTCAATTTTATCTAAATAAATTTATCTAATACATAAATTTTCTCTCCCCATCCATCCTCAAAACAGCCTCTCAGTATAAATTCCACGTATATAAATTGGAAGGATCCTAACCATGGAGAGCCTTTCCATTTCGCCTTTTGAAAGTGTTCATCACATTTCACTGAAATCCTTTTGAGTTGTTTTCACACCCACATTCCTAATTTTATCTGTTTTGGTAGAGCACCTAAATAGCAGTCAATAAACGGTACACTTCTGAGAGCACATAGGAAGAAGTCTTCTCTTGAGCGACATTGCTCAAATATGACCTTTACCTGGAGTAAAGGAAGAGACATTTTCTGTCCTCTCTTCACATTCCCAAACTCTGAGTTGAGGTTATTTGAGTAAATATTCTCATCTTCTACTTTAACCAGTTATTTCTGTGCTATACATGAATCTTTCAGAAATGTGTATGTGTGTGTGTGTGTGCATGTTTGTGTATGTGTGTGCGCGTGCGCACGGAGCTGTCATACTTCGGGAAATAATAAAAACAAATGTCCTTTTCTGCTACAACTAAATACCACCTAATCTTGGTTCCCTCCCACTCCTCTCCAGAGCTCTCACTGCCTGGTTGAAATATACATTCCTTTCTTGTTCATCATTGTCCAGTTTGGTGTAGATATGTGCATACCAGAGAAATGAGGTCACATGCCAGTGACTGCTGTTGATTTTGACTCTGTAATTTCAGTCCTCAATTCAAATAAACAATTTGGGCCAGACCTATGGACAGCATGAGGCTACAAAATACTGAGTCCATTTAACATACTCTGGTGTGAAAAGATGCCCAAACTATAGAGCAGATCTGAAATATTGGTCTAGTGACTGGGTAACATAAACTGTTTATGTTCTGGATGGTTTTTGAACAACAAAATTACTTCAAAACTAGTCTCGGGAAATGTCAAATTGATGGCTAGAGACTAGCGGGAAATGAAGGATGAGAAAGGTATGGTGCTCACCAGATTAACCATTTCACACCTCTAGAATACTGACTTTCACACTTCTCTCACATGTAAAGGGATTAATTCCAAGGTTCATGTTAATTTGATTTTAACTGTACTCTCTTTTTTTTTTCCAGTTTCCCTTCTCCTCCTAAACAACTGGGTATGTAATAAAACCTGTGTGTTTTACAAATTATTTCTTACACCTGAGATAGTGAAGCATTGAAGGTCACCAAACATTGAATGTACCTGCTTTAAGTCCTGACTGCAAATGATAAATATATCACATTGCATAAGCAATTTCACCCTGAATGATTCCAATGACCCAGTAATAGAATAACAGACTCAAAAAATAAACATGTAAAAAATAAAAAGATTCACCTATCAGATGCTTCTCATTGTTGTGATAAAACACCACAATATTTCTCCCAGAAGCAGCATGGCCAGGCCTGTCATAGCAGTAGAACACCCCTTGGTATCAACGTCTGTATTAGATACTTTTCTATTATAACAGTGCACCTTGGTGAAGGCAAGGAGGCTCGAGCAGAAAAACTGAGGCCTCGCACCTTGAGCCTCAAGTAACAACAGAGAGTGAACTGGCAATGGTGCATATCTTTTCAACTCTCAAAGCCACCTCCAGTGACAAATCTCACCAAGGCCATACCTGCAAAGCCTGCCCAAACAACAGCACAAACTGGGGACCAATTATTTAAATGCCTGAGACCATAAGGTAAAACTCGTTCACACCAGCACAGACGGCTTCAATGTATTGATCTGAAAGCCACTGAGGCACAGAGATAAGAGGCAGGTCATGGACACCAGCGTCAGCTGTGCCCACCCCAATTCAGTCCATGCTGAATATGCACAGTTGCTACTTGAAAGTGTGTAAAAACATGCAAAAGACACACAACCAGACACTTTCGGATAGCCTTCCTCTACCTCTTTGGGGGAAAAGGGTAACAATGTCTTCTTTGTACAATTTCAGTCATCATTTTGAAAATGCTGCTGGGACAGATCTTTTCAAGACTGTTGAAAGTTTCTCTGAATAAAATGTTGTCTCCAAAAACATTGAAAGGCTTTTTAAAGAGTTTACCTACTTAAATTCATATTCTTTTAAGTAAGCTGCTGGTGGTGGCGCACACCTTTAATCCAAGCACTTGGGAGGCAGAGGCAGATAAATCTCGATGAGTGAGTTTCAGGACAGCCAGGGTTACACAGTGAAACCCTGTCTTGAGAAACGAGAGAGAGAGAGAGAGAGAGAGAGAGAGAGAGAGAGACACAGAGAGAGACACAGAGAGAGACAGAGAGACAGAGAGACACAGAGAGAGACACAGAGAGAGACACAGAGAGAGAGAGACAGAGAGAGAGACAGAGAGAGACACAGAGAGAGAGACAGAGAGAGAGACAGAGACAAAGACAGAGAGAGAGAGACACAGAGAGAGAGGGAGGGAGGAAGGGAGGGAGGGAGGATGTCCAGCTGGTGGCATAGCTCAGTTGGTAGCACTTTTTGATCCCCAGCACTTCACAAGCCAGGAATTGGGGCCATTCTCATTCAGCTTACCATACCAGTCATGGCAAGTTTTCTATCAGTGTTGTTTCTCGTCACTTGATATATATTATCTGTAGAAATAAGATTTTCCTTTGAAGGCAGTACAATCGTACTATCGCTGTCAGGTGATGAATTAATATGGAACAAATCATTAAAAGAAAATGGTGGATGATAAGTGATGCACACAGCTAGATGGGCAGATGGGGGGAGACTGACGCAGAGCTATACAGATAGGATCAGTGACATAAAGAATTTCTGCCTACTTTCTGCTGCCAGTGGCCAAGAGAGTTGTTGACTTCTTTGGCCACAGTTTTTAAGTCTCGCCAGTCATCCATTGATTATACTTGTAGGATTTTATAGCCACAGCACTGTTCTAGGGTTGTTGGGTCTCCCCCTCAAATAATGATAGTTGTCATCGTATTCACTGGTTTCTATTGTTGCTCTGTTCACTTATTGATTGTAAGATAAGAATGTCCCCCTTCCTTCCTTTGAGAAGCAGACAATGCCTTTAATAGAAATATATGCAGTCCCTGGGAAATCTCTCACTATCTTGGAAGCAGTCTTTGGGTTTTAATAACATCATTAAATGTTCACATCAAAATTTAAATTAGCGACACTTCAATATTTGGTATTCTGTCTCTTAATAGATGTGGGAGAAGAAGTTTACGACGATGTGGATGCCTCCGACTTCCCTGCTCCTCCTGCAGAAATGAGGTCATTAAAACGTTTTGGTTACCATGAATGTTGACGTGGAGACTGCTCAGCAATATTGGACTGGAGTAAAACTCCAGCGTGGTGTGTGTGTGTGTGTGTGCCATGTGCGGTCATGTGATCTCTGCTCCCCTTTGCTCATACTCTGCTTATTTCTGAGCACAGCTCTCAGCTCAGAGCTAAGTCTGCTAGCAAGTTATCCTTAGTCCCCCCCTCCCCGACCCTTCCCCGTCCTTTCTCCTGACCTCAGACACTGGTTCTGCCCCCTGTTCCCTGACTAATCTCTGCTGGTTGCTGGTGACTCACTGCTGTCTGTATTCCCTAATTTACTGGGAATGTATACTTGAGATTCTGTTCACAGTAATTTCATGATTCATCTTCTCTCTTGTTTTTACCCTTTTCCCCAACATTTTTTTCCTTGAATGTATTTCCTTTCTATCTCAGTCCTCATCATTCCCCCTCCCTGTCCTCCATCAATGGTTTCTTTTGTGAAAAATTACAGAATTTGTTGCTTAAAAGGACTTTCATATATGCCTTTTGGGGTTCTCAAAAGTTTTATGCACATTCACATTTCTTTTCTAAGTAAACAGTGATCAGTAACTTCAGTTTATCTGAGGTCTGCATTTAACTTTAAGGTTATGAAAATAAGTTAATATCAGTTAGCCCAAAAGAAGTGCCCTTTGAAAATTTTTCTGAGGTAGAAAATAATGTGCTAAAATACTTGCTCATTTTTTAATAGCTGTGTGAAATGACCTGTGTACAAAAGCTAGGAACCTCCAATAGTGCCCTCAAGAAAGAGATGAATGGGGAAAAAAATGGTATACTTGATTAGTTAAAGGGAAAAATTTACATTAATAATTTGAGTCATGCCTGGTGAGCTGTACTTAAGAATGCATGAGAGAACGTCAAGTATTTAGCCTCACCACGTTAAGCCAATTTTACTAAACTAGAAACAGTATCAAGATCAAAGAAACTGAAGGCAAAATATGCCGCTGGTCACAAATGAAAATCAAGTTCTACGGGGAAAACAAGCAACACAGTTGAAAGAAGGCCTGCCTCCCCTGAGCTGTCTATGACAGGGAAATCTCTCAGTAAATTGTTCATCTTAATAGTCCTCACCACCAGGACCTCGTGCCTGACTCTGATGGATTTCAATATATTTTTCATTCTTATATTACTCTGGAAACATCCCCACATTCCATGAGCTAGCTAGCTCTCCGGGAAACCAGAATCCTATCCTGGCCCTTTTCTTGGAGGAAAACAAACTCCAGCTGATTAAACTTGATCAAAGATGACTTTTTTGCCCCTACCCATTGCTTATTTTCAGAAATTAAAACAATTCTATATTTTAAACACAGTATTCTATTTTGGAATAAGTTATTTTCAAAAATAGCTTGTGGAGCATTTTCAGCATTCATCCATGCTCTGATCATCCCAGAGAGCTAATCTGGGCCAGCAATTTCACAAGTGCCCAGATCGGGAAAGGCAATAGATCCTAGGGATAGAAGCAAGACTGGAGGTAGAATGGCCCTCGTTCTTTTCACAGTGAACAAGATAAATGCTTAAAAAGAAAGAAGAAAATAGAACCAAACATTTTAAAGAAGCCACAAGCAAATTTTTTCTAAATAATCAAAATGAAAACGCCAGTGTCAAATTTCCACTATTCACAAATATTCTAGTACAAAAAAAAAAAAAAAAAAAAACAAAAAAAACAAAAAAAAAAACTCCCTTCTACGGGCAGTCACACTTCTTCCTACTCTGCCTTGAACTTTTAGTTCCCAGTGAGCAATTTAATGAAGTCTCCAAGAAAAAGCTCGACTATAGACTATATTAGCTATTATCTTTAAGATGCTCCCTCATGACCAGCACTTCCTATCCTCGGTGCTGCCGCCATTCATTTCTGTAATATTTCTCTGCTGGAAATCAAGTCTAGGGTGTGCTATGTGAATGCTCCCCCACTGAACTCCATCTCCTCTCTTATAGTTCCCTTTTCATTAGATGTGAAAATACTAAGTTACATACATTTTATAAGCCATGAAAACTCAGTTCTTTAAAAAAGCATTTTGATCCTTCTTAGTAACATTATCTCTGCCATTCAGCTTTCTACAGAGAACTAGAAAATGCACGGGGCTCAAGTATAGGTTTATTCACACGAAACCGTGGTATGAAGCTCTGTTTCACCTTATTCGGTTTTATGATGGGTTCAATCTGACCTTTCACTTACAGCTTAAGTCATATGTATTATTTAATGATGGACCCCTTCTACATGTCAGAAACCTGTAATTGATTATAACAATCAGTACTAAATTAAAAACAACATTGAACAAAAAATTATTATTATATGATGGGCATGGTGGCACACACCTTTAATCCCAGCACTTAGAAGGCAGAGGCAGGTGGCAAATGTATCTCTGTGAGTTTGAAGCCAGCCTGGTCTACTTAATGAGTTCCGTTGTATATTGTAAGTCCTTGTCACAAAAAAGAGAAAGAAAAATAAAAACAAAAAACAAACCACTGAAAATTTTAATGTTAAGAATTAAGTCTCAGGCTGGGTAGTGGTGGCACACACCTTTAATCCCAACATTTGGGAGGCAGAGACAGGTGGACCTCAATGAGTTCGAGACTAGTCTAGTCTACAGAGGAATTTCCAGGACAGCCAAGGCTACACAGAGAAACCCTGTCTCAAAAAAAAAACAAAACAAAACAAAAAAGGAGAATTAAGTCTCTACTATGATCTGTTATTTCCTGTTTCTCAAAGTGTTGGTTTATATATTTTCTGTTACCCTAGTCAAGGAATTAATGTTGGAAAGACCAAAACAGAAGAAAAAGATCTCAAGAAGCTAAAAAAACAGGAAAAAGAAGAAAAAGATCTCAGGAAAAAATTTAAGGTATGTATTATTTAATGCCATTCAGAGATCAAAGTACTGATGAAAAAAATCCAAAAATTTCAAAATGACAAAGTATATTCTTTTAGAGTATGGTAAACAATACTAGCACTATCTTTCATGACTTTTTTTGTTCCAAATACATTGTAAATTTCAATTTATTCCTACAATAAATTAAGCAAGCAAGCATCCATGCTAATATCCTCCGCACTGTGATAACCATTTACATTTAGATGTCCTTCGACCTTTGGTAAAGTGATAACCTATAAATGTTTGTTCTGTGAAGTTGGTGAGGTTATGAGGTGTCTTAGTTGTTGTCTCGTGGCAATGATAAAATGCCCAGATAAAAGCATCTTTAAGGACAAGGGGTTTCTTTTGGCTCACAGTTCAAGGCTACAGTATGTCATGGAAAAATCACAGAGACAGGAGGCTTGATGGAGCTGGTCTCATTGCGTCTGCAGTCACAAAGCAGAGAGACACACATGCATGCGTACTAGAGTGTACCTTGTTTTCTCCATTTGATGCAGTTCAGCGTCCCCTCACCAGGGACCAGTCCCACTCAGAAGTAACATAGTTCTTCCTATATTAATTAGCAAACTCAAGATAACCCCCCCACAGGCATGTCCAGAACACAAACCTTCTTAATAAACTTGTCAATGAATGAATGGCTGTAGTAATACGTATCAGTAATGTCGATGTTTACTTATTTCAGTACGATGGTGAAATTCGAGTTCTCTATTCAACCAAAGTTGCTTCCTCCATAACTTCTAAAAAGTGGGGAGCTAGAGAGCTGCAAATAAAACCCGGAGAATCGCTTGAAGTGATTCAAAGCACAGACGACACCAAAGTTCTCTGCAGGAACGAAGAAGGCAAATGTAAGTCCCCGCTGAAGCCACACTGTGCGCCCGACGGTTGGTGGGTGGGCTGCAGGGGTCGATCATCTCTACTAACTTTCTTTGTTCTGCGGTTTATGGGTTGCAGGACATATTAGGAAACTGGAGACTCTGGTATGCTGAAATCAATAAATTCTACTTTAATGTCTATAAGAAGGTTTTGAGATTATAATAGAATTACATCATTTCCCTCCCTATCTTTCCTGTCTCCAATCTCTCCCTAGTACCCCTGTTGTTGAATTGGTGTGCCTATTTACTTTTATTTTTTGACTTTTCAGACTACCTGCTTTTCATACTATTTATGAAATCCCTTTCTTGGCTGGTATCCTTGACCATTCTTAATTTCCTTCACGTCTGATCTATTTTCTACACACTCACTAGGACTTGGAATGGTTGCTATAGAAACGTATCCCTCCTTCCTCTCAGTCATGGCAAATGGCCTTGCAAATGGTATCCATCTTTCCCACATTCTCATCCAGCCCACTCCTATGTGAGCCAGATGTTTTCAAGAGGCCACACTGTCTTTAGGATAGCATATACTAAATGTCCTTCGTCATCCAGCCTCACGGACAGCAACTGCAGTTTGCTGTCTAGCTTGGACATCCAAAAGTAAAGGACGCGTTTGTCATTCCCTGAATAAATTTTGCTGGTTCATCCCACTGTGCTACTTTGTTTGACTTGGAATGCATAACTGTCCATTAGAAACAGCTCAGTGATCATCTTAAATTGGAAGCATCTTTACCCTTTACTCTCCCAGCTACCCAAAGAGGCTGTGTCTCTCCCCAACCACACCACTTTGACTTCTGAGTGGTTTGTTTCAGGAATTTACTGCTCTTCTTAGACTTCGAGCCCACACAGAACCTCAGTGAAGTGTTCTTGATGTTGGGTTTCAGCACTGGTATAGTGTCTCAAACTTGGAGTGGGGCTTGGTAGATTCAAAGGAACACTCTAGATGTCTAGTGTAACAACCAGGTAGAAGTCCTACATAAACACTCACATAAACGTCTGCTGGATAGTTTGACTGGTTAGCAGACAGTTCTCTGGCTTGGCCTGATAAGCACTGTTAGCTTGTGAATCATTAAGGACTCTAAATCTGTTCCTTCCTTATTTTTACATCTTCTCATGACCAGCAATGGGTGTTTTGCAGTTCAGCACCAGCATGACTAATGTTTTCCTCCCTCTCCGTTCTTCTTCAAGCTACCACAGAAAAGAACACGACCTAAGGTTTATAGTGAGCACACGAGAGGTTAAAGCACAAAGGACAATCTCTTTGCCGCTATGTGGAGCAAAAGCCTCAATTGTAGACATTATTAATTCAGTAGGGTCTCACCCAGAGACATTCGGCAAGTGTGAACTGTGTAGGCAGTGACATCTTA